CTTTCTCTTTTTTTCGCTATGCTAGTTTGTGTATCACATACCATATTTTAAGCAAATGGCTGAACAATTTTGCTGCAATGATATTCTGCAGTGGACCGCTTTGGGGGTTTGTAGTTGCTTTCATGGTCTTTAACATAAAAGGTATGACTAATTAAACAGATGATCATTTAGTTCTATTGTGAGAGATCTTCATATTATAAGTTTCAGTTTTTAAATATTGCTTCTTGGTACTGCAGGATCAAATCTCTATTTCTGAATAGCAATCATACCTGTTACTGTAAGATCAGGGCCGGCTGAAGACTAGGGGTAGGCAGTGCACCCGCCCAGGGCCCATTGCTGGAGGGGGCCCATATATATATATATATTTTTTTTGTAGTAGTATAACTTTTTTTTTGTAAACTATAGTAATGTTGTTTCTGGTGTTCATCGATCTTATTTTTAAATTTTATTGGTAGATGATACTTAGTTTTGATAAATAAGCTCTACTGTTTGTTAGGAACAAATATTAACATCTCTGACCCATTATATTTGTCGGTTGATCTTAGCTCTTAAACATATAATTTAAAAAATCTGGGGAAAAAAATTCATAATTGATTCTATGTTCCATTCAAGATCATATACCAAGATGTTTTTGTAGTCAAGATTTGGAGGATCCATTGAGAATATGGTACTATTTTTATTTTTATTACCGTAATATTAAAAAATTTACATGGTTTGCAGAGATTTAATTTAAATCTATTTATATAGCGTAAACCATATATTTCTTTTGAAAATTTCTGTATATTTTTTATTAGTCAAATATTGTTGTAAAGGAATTTTCATTTTTAGTCTTTTTCGTTTTTAAAATTTTATTTATATAGGTTAGAAAAATATTTGCAAGCATATATTATGGACATCTAATGACTATTAAAACAAACAAAAGGAAATAAAACAACTCTTAAATTAATCATCTGTACAATCAAACTACTATACAGATGACAATGCGATATTATTAAATAAGTAATTAAATAGATCAGTCTGCGTCGACAAAAGTGGGGGTCCCTTGGTGCAAGATCGAGTTATAAAGTTCCAATAAGTCAAATGGCATAACCAGTCAGGAGCGATGCACCTTGAACTTGGAACTCGAATATACAATTTTCACGGAGTATACCGCAGTTAAAAGGTCTACTTAATAAGAATCTAGGCATAATCATCACAAAAACAAAGTCAGTGTTTTCAGAACTCAAGAGTCATAGTTACAAATATGAAATTGTATGAAAGACAGAGAGATTGTTAAACCAATGTACCAACCTTTTTCAACGTCCAAAAACCGTCCACTCCCGCCCGTTTCAATTTTTGGTGAAGTAGGCCTCACAGGTCTTCAAAGACACTGAGGCATATTGTTACAGACCTGCATTTAAGTGTGGATTCTTATTAGGCCATTGGAAAGACATTAAACTACACATAAGCCTATTTAAGCACCTAAGTGACTGATACACATGTTGGGTACACATTTAAATTCAAATGTTCGCCATAATGTAGTGAGTTGTATAGACATGGTCATTGCAATTTTTCTTGATAAAACTCACTTACCCTAATATGTCTGCAAAGAAACAATAACGTGGGAACATTTGGATAGGTGTCAATTAGTTTAAGAAAACGGGGGAATAAAAAGATAGAATTTGTATTTGTTAAAGATATGAGTCGCTAAATACTTGTCTCCAAAGGAAATCTGACTTACATGACAAAGGGTAGACTGAGTTGTAGCACCAAACCGAGCATCCTCCTCAAAATCAGATGTTATCCAAGAGAAAGGTGTGTTGGTTGGTCTCAAAACCCTTGTGAACATTATCCTGACATTCAACTAACGGCAAAAAAAAAAAAAAGAACCATTTTAGTTGTTTGGCGTGAAATTTGTCTAATTCAATTGCTTTTATTTACTAACATCCATCCACAAACCCACACTAACACTTAACAATCAGATGTAAGCATGTAACCTTCACAGTTATTACCTAAGTAGCAAAGGAGAGGAAACTCAGTTTTGGTAATGGATAAGACCAATAAGAGTTCTAAGAGTATTTAAATGGAGTGTAACGAAAACTATCTAAAGACTCCACAAATTTAAAGGAACCTAACCTTAGATTTCAGCTCACATCTTATAAATCCACCATTCCAGGAATCAAACCAAATTAACCAAATTGATATTTCATGACTATAAACTTAAAAATAAACAAAAGATGAAGAAAAAACAATAGAAAAAACCTTGTGGAGACCTAAACGCTCTGTGAGCACAAATCAACACGACTCCTACCATCACAGCCAAGACACCAACATATCCAACATTGGTGAGGAAAAAGCCCGAAGACCCGATTGTGATAGTTTCTGAGACTCTATTAATGAAGGCGGGAACACAAGGGTTGTGATGGGTAGTTGACATTCGATAGAGGGAAGAAGCCGTATCGAAGATGAAACGATATGAACGGAGATTGATACATAGTTTCTTCACGGCGAATCATTTCACACGACCTTTCAAGACCTCCATCGCCGGTTAGTAGAGTTGGAGCTCAAAAATTGAGGAACCCTAAAAGCTAGAGACGTCGCAGGAAGGGGAGAGATGACATTTTCTCTGGTTTTCTTCGATTGGGAAACTAATTAGTTTTAGGGTACAACAGAATTAGCGGCCAGAAACATAAGAAGCCCACTACTACGCAAAGAAGAGAAGAGCAACCATTTGAGGCCCAATTCGAATTTATCCTACGTGGACTATATGACGTGGCGCCTACATGGCACCCTTGAGAGGAACATCAACATAAGATTATATAATAGATTAATAATTAATTATAATCAGCTAATAAAATACTATAAGTCTATAATCAACATTAAAAGTAGTTACCTTAATAAAGTGAGTTTTTTTAGGCATGAGTATATATATCATCAAGACGTCTTCTCCTCTTCTGTAAAAACTGTTCATATTTCCAGTGATACAATTTTCAAAGATCTCAAACACAAAATCGTTGATTATTCAAAGATTCATGCATCATTACCTGTTCAAGGATTATTTTCTGTAAGTGATCTTGATTATTTTGTTTACTATCCTGTTTTTTTTTTCTCTTAACACATGTGCATAAACACAGGTCACTGATTTTGTTTTGGTATTGAACACATTTTTGTTTTTTTTCTGAAACCTCCGTGGATTGTTTTTGTTTTCTTGTTTCAAGTATCTATTTCAGTTTCAGCTTCATCAATTCAGTTTTTGATTCTTAAATCCAAGCAGAAATCTACGTGTACTTTTCCTTTTACACTACAAGAAATATTGGTATTGGTAGCACTCGAAAAACGTTATTATAGGGTTTTCATAGTGTTTAGAAGAACGCCGTGACAGCCGCAGCTATGGTAGACCCCCCCCCCCCTATCGTAGCGTATTTTCGTGTGCTATAAAAACTAAAGAAATTATAGCATTTATGCTACGCTATATTATGTTTTAATAACACCATAATTTTACTATTATATGATTTTCTATGGCATTTTTCACGTGTCACAACAAAATTTATAATAACATATATATAATGCTATAATTAATTATAAAATAATTAAAAAATATTAAATTAATTATTAAAATCTAATTAATTAAAAGAAAATAATTAAAAATGAAATTTCAAGTTAATTCATAAAAGATTAAATTTTATTTATTGATTAAAATCAGCATACAAATAATTTAAAAAATACATTAAACCAAAGACTAATTACAAACATTAAACCAAACCATAATTAACCTAAAGCTGGTCTACACATAAACCCGGTTTAGAAAAAAAAAAACTAAACCAACTTAACCTAAAAAATTAAATCCTAACTCTGCAGCAACCTTGCTTTGCCGCCGTCAAACTGCATCAATCTCCTTCTCCTTCTTACTGTTTTTCTTTTTCTTTCTCTGCTCCATCTCCACTAGCACAGCTTCTTCCTGTAACAAGAACAAACAAATCAAATTAAAAACAAGAGAGAGAACAATGGCTATTGAATATTGACTGCATCATACATACATATCGAGAACAAGAACAACCACCAGGCGTCCCATTATCCATTCCACTTCCTCATCCCCGCCCCTGTAACAAGAACAATAAACATTCAAACTCATAAAACAGAGAACAAGTGTGAGAGACAGTGAGAGTGACAGAGAGAGAGACAAGAGAAGACAGAGACCAGCGGATCTGAGAAGCGGTAGAGAAGATAACAATTTAATACATAATAGTATCTTATTTTTAAAAAATATAATATTATTAATGTAAATTATTTTTTATTATGTTCTAAATTATATATGAAATTATTGGAAGATAATAAATAAGCAAAATTTCTTAAAATTATGAAAAAGTTAACAAATCAGAATTGCTTAAATTATATTTACTTATAATTTTTATATTTTATTTTTTTAGTTTCTATAATAGAAAAATATATTTTCTAGATAACAATATAATATGTAAGAATTATCTTATTTTTTAAAAATATAATATTATTAATATAAATTCATTTTTATAATATAGGAAATTATATATAATTTATTAAAACATGACAAATAAGAAAAATTATCTAAACATATGGAGAAATTGACAAATAAGCAAATTTACTTCTCAAATAATAGTATAGATAAACAAAAGCCAAAGATAACCTGCGTTTTCAGCTTTTGGTTTTGGATTTTAGTTTTTAGATTTGGTTTTTGGTTTTGCTTTACATTTTTTTTAAATCAATAAATTATTTAAGAAAAATAAAACAATAAACTATTTAAAAGTTACCATTGAAATTTATCAAAATAGAGTTATTTTTATTTACAATAAAAAATACATTAACATGTTTTAAATTACATGATTTAAATAAGTGATTAATAATAGACAATTTTATTTTGTTAAAAATATTAATACTTTTGGGTTGTTCTTGTGGTTGGTACCAAGGTGCAACATGTATAGCAACTTTGGCATTGGAGAATGCTGGTTTAACAGAATACCCTTTCGGAGTTAAGCTAAGGCCTAGGGATGAACTTTTCTGGTTCAATAAACCCAAACTACTCTTGTCCCTTATCCACTTCCTTCTATTCCAGGTTTGAAATATCTTTGACATAATTCATATCATCAAACCACATTTTCTATTTCTAAAACTTGCAGTTAATTGCTTTGTATCTTCCACAGAACTCTTTTGAACTGGCCTCATTCTTTTGGTTATGGGTAAAGACAAACAAACCATACATTGACTTAAGCTTATAGATTTGTTTTTTTTTTTTTGCACTTACTAATACATTTGTTCTTTGATTTTTCTTCAGAAGGCAGTTTGGTTACAACTCTTGCTTCCTTAAGAATCATCTCCTTGTTTACTTCCGACTTATTTTAGGGTAATGAAACCTCTTTTCCTTCCCAAAGTAGTTTCAAGACTGTAAACATTTGATTTTCTCTTTCTAGGTTTGCTGGACAGTTTCTATGCAGTTACAGCACACTCCCACTTTATGCATTGGTCGCTCAGGTAATTGAGAAAGCCTGTCGACTATAGATAATATCTTAAAACTCTCTAGAGGATATAATGGATAGTTTCATCTCTTTGATTACTAGATGGGAACGAACTATAAAGCGGCTCTGATACTTCAGAGGACAAGAGACACGATTCAAGGTTGGGGAAAAGCGACAAAAAAAGAAAAGAAGACATGATGGTTATTACGGTGATGATTCGACTGTTAGGACAGAAACAAGCACGGTTGCATCTATTGAAGAATATGACCATCAAGTGCTTGATGTTGCTGAAACTTTTACACAACAACAACAATAAGGTATTGAGCTTGAGTCGCAGCCAATCCAACAACCTCGTAATACTTCTGCTTATGCAGCTAATGAATCTTCAAGTAGAGTTGGGACACCTCTTCTTAGACCTTGTGTCTCCATTTCTTCGTCAACGACCCCAGAGCTAAGAGTAGAACCTGTGGAACCTCTCTCGAGATGAGATCATCTTCATTGCAAGTGAGAAGAGAATGATAAGATGAGTCACGGTTCTGAATATATAAGTTTGTATGAGTAATTTCAGTAGAGAAAAGGTCCTCTTTACCTCGGATATGTCTTAATGAAACATGTATACATAGATGAGAATTGAAAAGGTTTACACTTGCATTTCAATCATTATGTACGTATGTAAATGTACTATATAGTATATGCAATCATTGTGCATACTAAGTAATTTCACTTATACAAAAAAAGTTGCTGTCTCAAAGTTTATGGGAAAGGGTTCGTACGGATCTGTGTCTATCTTTTCCGTTACAGACAAAACGAACGGCTCAATGCTCTACAGGGCGGTGAAGAACAACTCTGTCTCTCAGACTGATACGATTTACATATCCAAACTTGTAGAACAGAGATTACAAAAGGAAATACTGATTATATTATGAAATAGATAAGTGTTTACAAGTAACTTTGAGAGAATTGCTTGAGAGTACTCTCACCTCTCCATGTTCATGATTGATCTAATCTCTAGATAACCCTCTTACTCATTCTCACTTCTCCTTATATACTCTTATTACTAAATTAGGTTAAGACACTTATGACCAAGCCCACATAATCTAACCCATTAGTCTAATGGGCTCTCCCACAAGTGGGCCACGTAACACAGACCTCATCGCAGCATGTCGGAACTAAGAGCAGGTCCAACGCAGGTTTTTATCGAATCCTTAGATGAATCCTTAAGGGCCAGGGGATTAAAAAAACAATAAACATTTTCGGCCCGCTAAGGATGAGTCCTTATATTAGTCATTTACGGATTCAATCCTTAATGTGCTGGCACGCTGTGATTGGCTCGGTTTCGTAAGGGAGAGAAAAGAATTTTTCATTCTCGACACCACTTGAAAAAAAAAACCAGAGGCCAAAGGAGAGCGACAGCAGAAGCGATTTTGCGATCTGAGAGATCAGTCAATTTGAAACCCGTGAGATCTAAGAGATCAGTCAATTTTGATCTATTGTGAAATTCCGCAAACCTAAAGCTTGCAGCAATGGATTCTTCTTCTTCCATTTTGAATCCCCTTCGTGAGGATATCTCCGACGAAGAACCAGCTCCGGCGTTCGTCTTCGCCACTCGTCCCCTTCGCCCTCCTTCTACGTGAGTCACCGTCGCTTTTATGAGGGGATGTGTTTAGCTACGCAGAAGGAGATTTTTGCGAATTGTGAGGGGAACTGGAAACGGCTTTGAGGTTCTTGCAATCTGTTGAGCAGTCCTCTGATATGGTTGAAACTTTTGCAGGCAATGTATGGTTTTCATTTTGTTTGTGTGAACTTTTCATTTGTTGAGTAGTAGTCTTAGGTAGGTTAGTGATAGCTGAGAAATTGGTTTAAAGGATATGAGTATAGCTTTGAAGATTGGTTTGGTTTAGAGGTAACAAATGTGTTTCTTTCATGCTTTTGTGCAGATGCAAGTTACAACAGGAAGGTATCACACGTTGCTAATCAACAACTCAAAGGTTTACTCTTGTGGTTTACTCTGTGTTTCTATCAAGAGAAGGGCGTGTGTTTACATGTGGATCAAACACACATGGACAGCTTGGTCATGGAGATACCTTGGACAGTCCAGTACCCAAAGCTGTTGAGTTTCTTCAAAGCGTTGGCCCTGTGGTGCAAATCTCAACGGGACCGAGTTATGTTTTAGCTGTAACACAAGATGGCTCGGTTTACTCATTTGGCTATGGATCTAGCTTTTGTCTTGGTCATGGAGAGCAACAAGACGAGCACCTCCCGCATGTCATCCAGGCTTTTAAAAGAAAAGGTATTCATATACTCAGTGTCTCTGCAGGTGATGAACACGCCGTGGCGCTTGATTCCAATGGCCGTGTAAGTTCTTTCTTTCCATATCTCTTCCTCCTTCTTGGAATTACTTTCATTGCAAGGTACTGTTTTTCATATTTAATAATTTAAAAGATTCAGGAAAAAAAAACTAAGAATTCCATATTCGATATCACCATTGGAGGAAGATTTGAGATTGGAGTCCTTAACTATTCAAAAAAGAAAAAAAACAATTAATATATTGTTAAGGACTCCAATGGTGGGTAACACCATTGGAGATGCTCTAAGAGGCTGTCCTGGGATCGTGCAGTTGTTCGAGAAAGACATCATGCTTGAGTGAGAAGATTCCGAAGGAAACAGAGTCTACATACATGATGCCGATAGAGTAGGCATCTGAACTCTGAAGGTTTCCTATCTGACTTCATGCACCGAAACATAACACAACGACGATTGTCTCATTATGCCATCAGATAATTCACTCGCATGAACCTCTCTGATTATATTTCTTCATTTTCATGGGGGACTCCAGCGTTGGTACCAGTTTTGTGCATCATCTTATGGCATATAATAATCTCTTGCTGGATTTGAGCTTACATAACCACTTTGACAAAGCTGGCATATTTTGATATATGATATGAGCTATGCTTGGATTCTGTATGTTAAATGGAATATCCATTAGTATAGATTTTTGTTTTCAGTTGCAGCAGCTGATATCATCCCTTGGACTGTTATTTTGGAGATCAGCTTCTTTAAAAAGAGATTCAGGTTAGCACAACACTGATATCGTCTAATTAGTAAATTTGTCTTTTCTGCCGTTTCTTATGTATAGCCTTGGTTGGTGATCTCTGTATTACGGTTTGGTTTAGTTAACGAATTCATTTAAGGTGGTCTTGTTTGTTCATCAAAGCACCAGTGGTCTAGTGGTAGAATAGTACCCTGCCAGGGTTCGATTTCCCAGATGATATTGGATGGTTGGTTCCTTCGCATTCTTCTGATCTATCTCAGATGTGGTTGCCATGTGACTGAGTTCTGAATTTTTGTGTGTGTGCGAGTGATTTATATGAAAATTTTGAATCAAATTTTGATCTAAGGTAAAAAAGTAACTATTCACAAAGTATATATATAGTACATTTGTGTGCGTCAATGAGTGTGAGGTGAGGTAGTGATAATAAGTTTCTCATGAACTGAACTAAGACAAGCTTTTGTGAGACAGTTACTCTTGTTGTGTTCGAACACTCATTTTCATGTTTCGGTCCTTCGAATTCTTCTGATCAATCTCACATGTGATTGCCATGTGGCTGACTAAGTTCTATATCTGTGTGTGTGTCTGTTTGCTGAGTGATTCATATGAAAATTTTGCTTCAAATTATGATTAGAGGTAAAAAGTAACTATTCCCAAAGTATATATAGAGATTTGTGTGCTTCAGTCAATGAGTGTGATGAGGTAGTGATAATAACTTCTCCATGAACTGAACTAAGACAGACTTTTGTGACAGTTGCTCTTTTCGAACACTCATTTTCCTTCTTTTACGTGTAACTAGGTGATCAATAAAAAAAAGGTGTAACTAAATGGTTACTCACAATTCACGAATGTAAATACTATAAAAAATGTATTATGTATACAGTGATGTAAGGCCCGTAACTTTTGAAAAATAAATAGAAAAACATTAAGAAAATAATTTTTAAATCCAAATAGTTTAAAAATAAATCTTTCACTATTATATTTTAGAAGCATTGCGAGTGACAACTCAATAACATTAATTTTATTTTTGACTAAAAATAATAATAATTTAAGTTGCTAACAGTATTTCTTTTACTCGAACCTATACTTTTTAAGTTTTTAAAGGGACACACTAACCACTAGACCAATATAACTTTTTGAAATATTATTACAAATTAACAATTATATTAATATATATATATATATATATATATATTAGGTGATTTTCCCATGTTCATGTACGGGTATGAATATTTATCAAGTAAATATATTGTAATATATTCTAATTTATTAATTTAGATAGATGTTTAATTTTAATTATAAATTAATTTATTAATTTATATGTATAACTTATATTAATTTTATTATATTATTTTAATTAGACATACGATTTGAGAGATGTTATATTTAATCGAATTGGTTGTTTTTTTTGGTCAATAGTCATTTGGGTACAGTTGTATATTTTAGATTGCATCTATTTTTCTGAATTCGACTATAGTATTTTTCTTCTAAATATACTAAAACTTGATTATTATTGCATTTAGATTGGTTATTGTCTTCCTAAGCTTAAACATTTCTTGTGGCAATTATTATCGGGATGCATTGCAGTACGGATAAACCTTCAGGCACGAGGGATAAAAGGGGATACAGGTTGTGACAGATGTGGAGCTGATGAGGAAACGATTAATCATGTGTTCTTTGAATGTTCCCCAGCATGACAAGTCTAGGCACTTTCACCGATTCCTTCCCATCCAAATGTTTTCCCAAAGGTTTCGTTATTCACGAATATGGATTATTTATTTTGGCGGGTGATTCTAAAGTTGGAAGATCATTACTTTGCATGGATCTTGTGGTATATTTGGAAAGCGCGGAATAGCAAAATATTTAGTAATTTAGATATCGATCCACAGAACACACTTACGTTGGCACTCACAGAATTGACCTTGTGGAAAGAGGCACAAGTAAAGGCAGTTCAGAGCGATCCTCAACAACTGTCAGAGGATACTTTACCAGTTATTTCGGGAAGATGGTGTTTTGTAGATGGCTCATGGAAAGCAAATGATTAGTTTGATGGGCAAGGTTGGTATAGCACGCTTGAAGGGTATGTAGGTTTAATGGGTGCAAGGAATGTGATATTACGTGCGAACGCACACCAATTAACCTAATGTGCACACTACCACAATCAAATGGTATGTCGATGTAACACTTAAGGATCGAATCCACAGAGACCAAATATTACACTTTATTTTTATAAGATCAATTTCAAGCTAAAACGATAAGTTTTGTAAAGAAGCAAATAGTGAGAAACAAATAATTAAAATGGGTTTTAATTTCAGGATATAAGGATGTCAACCTAGGGTATCTCATTGGGTGTCAATCATGGT